ATTAAAATGAGACCTCTCCCAACTCTACATGACCTTTCTTTGCAAAGTTATAGAATTTACAACAAAAGCCCTAAATGTTCATTGTCAGCTAAAAGCTACAGAAATAAGAAGAAATTAATTTAGGGCTTTTCTTGTAAATTCTATAACTTTGCAAAGAAAGGTCATGTAGAGTTGGGAGAGGTCTCATTTTAATCAGAAATGTGCGGGCTACAATCATGCCTCATTAAGAACGGTTCGGGTTATTTTTTGGGGTTTCTGAAAAACTCGTTTTCTAGAAAACCAGGTGTTCGAAGGGCTATGCAGAAGCCGCATGGTCGTATTCGTAATCAGCATGGTCGATAACCTATAACCCACTATAACACTAGATTCCGAGCAAAAAGCGTTTAATCACTTCGTGGGGTTCCCTCGTAAGATATATCTTTGAGAACTTTACTAGAATTTTGTGAGAATTATAGTGAGAGAGACTTATATTTTGCTAGAAACAAGTCATTAAAATGTTTTTCGGAGATACATTTTAGGTAGCGATTAATAGAGAGGGTTGTGCAGGAGGGATGTACACCATTGGACGCCGTATCAAATTACACATTTGGAACCGCTCCCTTTTTCTACTTTTGAAGCAAGAAAATTTTGAAGAAACGCAGAACATAAGAAATCACTATGTTTTTGATTAGTTTTAACATGAAATCAGTCCTAAGGCCATTACAGTTGCGCAGATTTATGTTGCACAGATTTAATCGTGCGTAGCAATAATGACTGCTGCCTTTTTTGTTTATAAATGGGAAAATTACTTTTCAGAAGTATTGTTTCCTTAAGCTTTGAAATGGAAAATAGTGATTTTTCCAACGGAACAAAAATTTAAAATTTTTCTATTTTGGATTGATATTTTTTATGAGAGTTGAACCACCTCTACAAACACGTCTGCTAGGTAGAACCTAATCAGCTCTATCGGACGGCACGTTTAAACCCAAAAAACATTCACTGCAAAACAATCTAAAAGCAAAATACTACATTTTATGATTAATGACGGCCAGTATTCTGACCTAATATTCTCACTAACAACTGTGCCAAGTAGAAGTCGACAAGCTCTATCGAATGATATCTTCAGTGCTTCATTAATATATTGCTACTCCCAACTGTTACGAGCTTTTTATCAGTTTTTTGTGCTTAGGAGCTACATGCTAAAATTGATGGTTTGACCTAATATTTGTTTCGATCACTGTGCCCATTTTGACAGTAGCCGCGTCAGATAGAATTCGACGAGATATTGAAGACGCAGATAGACAGTCGTTCTTTTGACTGTTTTCATGTATTTTCATCTATTAGGATGGGGAAGTTCATCGATAAATGGATGAGATAAAACCTGATGAAGTCAATCAAACTGTATAGTCTAGTTTCAGCTTTTGTCTTGTAACATTTTCAAAATTGATTACACGTATCTATATTTATTTTTTGAAATCCTATTCGTACAGAGAATATATTTTTATATTAAATTACAGGATATGCTTATTGTTAGAAACCTAGATATTGTGTAGAAGAACGTTAGGACAACAAGTAACTGGCTCATGATTACACGAAGTTTTAAAAAAATACATTGTTAAAAATGATTTTGTTGGCTCGTACATTTAGATTTGACATAGAAAGCTCTATGACATCAAAAGAGGTTTTTCTTCATCTCGGCTCCTCACCTCAGTTTCATATAAAGCGTGATGAGTATCAGACTTAAGCCAAACACAGCTGCAGTATAATAATAACCACAGGAAGCAGGATAATAACATTGACTTTTCTTTGTTGTGCTGCTGCATCAGCTTGCTTATAATTTGTTTTTATTGGATAATCATTAGGCGGTTTTTCTATACTACTTCCATCTTTATAGTTAATTACAAGAGCTAATCCCGCTTCTAGATGCCAATCAATATGACAATGAAAAAACCATGAACCGGGATTATTGGAATAAAATTGTAATACCATCCATGAGTATTCATTTATTTGCTCTGTATCTCTCTTCGGTGGGTTATTAAATCGAAGTTTCTTAGTATCATTATCAAATGGATGTGGATGGTCGAAATAGGCGTCACCAATTCCAAGAACATAAAAATCATGTCCATGAATGTGAAATGGGTGACTCATACTACCAAGATTATTCAGTATCAGACGGACATTTGTATTGGTTGGAACTTCAATAATATGGGTTTGTGCTTTGTGCTTTTCATCTTTCTCATACATTGATAATAATGTTGGTTTGTTTGGAAGTCCGAATTGAACACCATTGATTTCACACTTGTAGGAATCATTACGGCAGGTGAAATTCAATACCCACTGCTCAAATGGATCACTTTCGTTGTACTGTATATGCACGGTTGGTGATAACTGCATTGAATTGATTAAGACGGTCTTTGGTTCAGACGGTTGGCTTGTCGGATCCACTGAATCCGGTGCATTAGCGTAATGTAAAATTCCTTTGATTACCTGAGAATCAAAAATAGTGGCACGAATCCAGTAATTGGCTATTGGCTGATTCATTGTCACCAAAATGTCATACCGTTGAGCAACATACAGTTTCAGCCGTTGTACAACAAACGGCTCGACATAAATGCCGTCCATTGCAATAATAGTTAAATCATGATTGTCAATTGAGAAATTAAATGTGTGACCAGATGCTGCACTAATTATTCGAAATCGATAGATCTGGTTTAATTCAACATTGTATAATTGATATTCGTGATTTGGGACACAAATTAATGACTGTATTTCTTGTGTACTGCAGTTGTACCGACCTTTCCCATTCATGAGTCCGGACACATATTCTGGAAAATAGTCAGGATGAACATTATCTGCTAATTCTGCCCCAAGTTCAATAGCATCATGATGATACCAGTCGTTTAATATAACTGTATAATCCGTTTTAATCTTGTTCGTATATAGATCGTTTTTGTCTTTGACAATAATAGCCCCAAAAACGCCGTCTGGATATTGTACTCCCGCATGACTGTGATACCAATGTGTGCCAATTTGTCTTGCTTGAAACTGATAATGAAATACTTCTCCTGGTGCCACTGGATACATTGTCACATAGGGTACACCATCCATCCATCCGGTTTTCTGCGTTTGGTGCATGCCATGCCAGTGAACAGAGACAGTTTCAGTTGACAGTTTGTTATGAAGGTGAATATCAACAATCTCATTTTCATAAACTTCAATTGTCGGTCCTGGTGTTGACTGGTTGTTAATTGTTGTTATTACCCGATAATACCCATCAGGATTACCGCGTATATACTCAACTGTCCAATTCGCCGTATACAAAAATATGCATCGAAAGAATGAAATTAAAAGCAAACGCTGAAATAGCATTTTGCACTAATGTAGAGTGAAAGCGAAATATACATTGTTGTATCCCTTATTTATATTGACTGATTATGATACTAGGTACAGCACCAGCATGAATAATGCATTTAACTGTATGAAATATAGCATATATATTTCATAATGCATGAAACAATTCACAAAATGTTTGTGGACACAAAGAAACAAATTATGACACATATCTGGTTTATTACAAAAACTTTATCTTTCAAAATGTAACCACACATGGTGAATACTAATGATTCATATGTTCTCAAGTACTTGACAAACAAATTTATTTGTAAAAGATTTGTAACTATGACATAACAACTTTCAATTTCACAAGAAAGAAACAAATTAGTATTGACAGTAGGCTGAAAAATAGGCTTAAACGTTATTCAAAGTTTGCAGTTCTTGAGAGATGGAGAAATTGGTTTTTGACTTTTTATAAGTACGGATCGCTGTGTGCATTTTTATCTGTATGATATCTTTCAGATATTCAATTGAAGATGACTTGTCTAATTATACATGCGCAACATTTTGAAACTGTAATGGACATTTTAGGCGTGTCCAAAGTCCAGGATGTTCTTAACCGTACTAAAGATATTGTTAAGAGAAATATTTCTGAATATGTGTTATTATATTATAATCACATTATAAATGAATATTACGAACTGAACGATTCAACCTTGACTGAACAGGTCGGAAATGCGCAAGATTCAAATCTTGCACTAATGCATTTACCAATTCGCTGAATTGGTACCTGCACTCAAAAAACAAATGTTCCGAAGTGAGTCTAAAGAAGTCTTTGTTTTCCCATGGCTGAGTATTTGTCTCGAATGTGGTATTGTTTGGAATTTCGTTACTATTTAAGATTTATAAACTCATAAAAATAGAGAACTTTATAGATGCGCTTTTAATCCGATCTGTTTATAAACTGCTACTTCTATTCGTACGGTTCTTGAGCTTTATCTGAGATTTAGACAATCTAGCAGTACTTCAGAAGAAAATCAGTCAGCAATGACTCATTTGATTCAGCTGCGATCGTAACAAAATAATGCTAATGGAGACTGAAAGATTTAAGCCTTTTATCCCTAGTTGATATCGTTGAACTCTACGGTACAGAAAATTTAAAAAAAATGCAAGGACTTTGTTGCCAACCTGATAAAGCACAAAGGATGACAAAAGAATAAAAACGATATAGACGTTTCTTGATTAAAAAAATGCTTGGTTAAATCATAAAACGTTTTATGGTAATATTTCGTTTTTGTTTTAATAGAAAATATATGTTTTTTGAAAAAATATCAAGATGAATTTTGGATACGAAAAAGTAGAGACTATATACAAGAGAATTTATCTTCTTCAGTAAATGCTCGTGTTAATGAATTGCGTGATTTTTTTGCGTAGAATTTTATTGCGTGAGACTCGAATAAATAATTGTCTACGACCTCTCTTTTTCTCTCATTCGTTTATGTTCAGGATGGTTTTATATTGATTGTGCCACATTGTGCCTTTCATCTATCTTCCGGTGTACTGTCTTTTTGCTAGACTGAATCGAAACAAAAAACAGCAGCCATTCAAAATAAAATTTCTTCCTCACCCGAAAAACAACTTTGACGAGATATATTGGTAAATGGAGCAATTTCCACTAACATTGGATCAACACACATAATATATAACACTTTTTCTTTTGGAACTGAACTGTCTGATGTGTTTGATGATAAAAATTTTCTAGCTGCCTCGATATTTGTTGATATCGATAAAAAACTATTCATTGAAATGAGAGATTTACGATTGTTCCGATCAGGTGTCAGTAAGAGCTATTGCCACTGTCTGAGGGTGTCAAAACGAGTCGTCGTATTTTAACTTATGAGTGTAAGTTCCGGTATGCTTTATGAATTTCTTTGCATTGAAGCTCTAAGGATGTTTTCCCTAAGGCACAACTGGTTATTTCTATCGTTATTCAAGATGCTTTTGCATTCGTCTTCTATTACTTTGTACGCACAACTGGTTGTATTTGTGACACTATCACTGTAAAAGTGTAATATGTCGACGTGCGCTTGGTGTATTTCCATTGACAGTACAGGAGAATACACAAATGTAAGAATTTCCGACGTGCAACGTCGAATTTATTCTCATCCATGAAATCTGGCATAGTAGCTCACTCTTTTGCTAAACAAACGTAGGGGTTAGTGAGAGTTTCTGGACGATTGCAGAAAAGAATATTCTGCATCTTTTTATAAACGCAAACTTTTTGGTGAGTGTGCTTCGAATAGAAACTGATTTGCGAGAAACTCCTAGCTTTCTAGCTATTTTACATGGTCATTTCCATTTACCCCACTAACTTTCACGTACGTTTCCAATTGCCCCAAGTGGGGTAATTGGAAATGTTCGTTAGAGCTTTCAGCAAAACACCGGGAAGTTCGCTTGGGACACAGAGTTTTTTGAAAATTTTTAGATAAGCTAATAGAAAATTTTCTCTTCTACCTACCTGTAAAAATATCTCAAAAAGATAATTAAAATTAACGTTAAGTTAAAATTAAATTAATTAAGTTATAGTAATTAAAAGTCCAAACAGCAAAACATGGTTTCCAATTGCCCCAGTTTACTCTAACTGTTTAGACAATTCGAAGAATTTTCCCTAGCTTTTGTTTCAATAGTACAAGCAGCAGAAGACAAATATTGTTGTCATATGCTGAAAAAAATTTAAAAGTGATCAAAAGTCTTTTTTCGTGATCATTTGTATCTGGAAATGTTTGATGATCAAAAAATTCATATCCATTGAAAATTTAACGGCATCAGCTATAGAACATGAGGCAAGTGTGTTTTTAGCGTTTTGTTTCTCTTATTTGAAGTCGATGTCTCCGAAAGGTGATAAATGAACTCGTGACGGAAAAAACGTGTGACAGACCCTTGATCAGCATAAAATGTACATCTCGAATTCTAAATCATTCACGCTCTCGAAAAGAGAAGGTGATTAGTACACGTGATCAAACAGAAGTTCGAATCAGTTCTTTTCGCTTCAGTCGATTAAGGCAGGCTTGGCTTTCTAAACGTTACACATTGTATAGAATTTGTGTTTAAGATCTGCATGATTAGCATAACACAATGCACTTTATGCTCAACGGCTGTTGACAGCACCGATGCATTCATAAGACACATACATCAGTGTCATAGTAGTTTTCCAAATTTTTCAATTTTGTGTCCTCTCTGTGTGCCAACGTCGTTCCTATGTACAGTAATGACTCTTGTACCGCCTGATAATTCATTTGATGAGATTAGAAAACTTTTTATCGGCAATTTAATAAGAATTCAAGAGGGTCATGTATGATCAGGTACTGTTATGAAAACTGTCGCATTGTCGCACAAATATCTTTTAGATCAGTCGTAGATGACCTATTACCGAAGCTTAATTTACCTACAACTGATCCTATACCATGTCATTATTTAAAACAAATCAACGCCATCCTATCAAACGTCTCAAAAGCTAACAAATCGTTTATGGCTGCCTACGAAGAGTATTTTGGATTGATAAAGCTCTACAACATATAAATACGACACATTATTTTCTATTATCAAAATTCAAAAAAGAAGATTGGATAGAATGCTTATAACGTTTGACCGAATGGTGATAGAGCCCTGCGGTTTTCACCATTTGATAAGAGGTGATCAGAGCACGTATACCTATGCAGAAATCAGAACTCGCAATCAGGTTAAACATGGTGCACCATTCGAGACAAATCCGAAAGCTTACCGTTCCCAAACCACACTATCACATCCAATCTCAACTGAGCAATCGATAGACATTTCTCTTCAAAACTACGCATGGCCCAGGTCTTCAACTCGTTTGGTTCTGGAGATACAGACGTTTTCCGAGGACACACCTATCTCATTACAGAAACATCTACGAATCTCAGAAACATGTGGATCATAGGTAATTTGACCACGCTGATTATCGCGATGATGTTTATTCCATTCCCCACCCAACCACAACTCGACTGGATTTTCATTCTATGATCTCTGCTAATCATTCTCTGAAAAATTCAATCTTTTTGGACAAATGAGTGAAATATAAGGTTTTTGATTTTTGCGGTGACAGGCGAAAAACCGGCTTTTCCGGAGTTGTGGTTAGATGCGGAATGAAACAAACATCATCGGGATAATCAGCGTGGCTGATTACCTATGATCCACATGTTTCTGAGATTCGTAGATGTTTCTGTAATGAGACAGGTGTGTCCTCGGAAAACGTCTGTATCTCCAGAACCAAACGAGTTGAAGACCTGGGCCATGCGTAGTTTTGAAGAGAAATGTCTATCGATTGCTCAGTTGAGATTGGATGTGATAGTGTGGTTTGGGAACGGTAAGCTTTCGGATTTGTCTCGAATGGTGCACCATGTTTAACCTGATTGCGAGTTCTGATTTCTGCATAGGTATACGTGCTCTGATCACCTCTTATCAAATGGTGAAAACCGCAGGGCTCTATCACCATTCGGTCAAACGTTATAAGCATTCTATCCAATCTTCTTTTTTAAATTTCGATAATAGTGTGAGGGAAGAAATAACCTAATAGTAAACAGAGATAAAAGAAACGTCAAAAGGTGTTGATGATAATATTTGTTACTCCACACTTTTTTTCCTAAGTAAAAGAAACAGAGATGTTTAAGTTTTATCTAGAGACATATTTTTCTTCATATAGATAAGGCATATAAAAGAAGCAAAACATTAATATGACCTATATTTAATTTTGTCGAACAAGTTGTAGCTTTAACTTTTTCACAATGGCTCAATTTCTACCCAGATCAATGTATGTATTGATCTTGTTCTTAATTAGTGGTGTCGCTACACAACATACTGAAGCATGGTATCGAAGCGAATTATCAACATCAATAATACCGTTGTACAAAAGTGCATGTGATATGCTGAGTACGCATGTTATACAAAAATTAACAGCATTGAATATCAAAGGTTTTGTTCGTAATCAAACAGCTGTGACTGAGATTGCTCGCGATTTAAAATGCACCATTCAACATGTATTGCAATTACTACAACAAGCAGTCCATCACAGTCTGCAACTGAATGATAAAACTGAACTCAAAATTGAAAATGGTTATTCAGCAATTAGTGAAATACGAACAACTATTCATGATACGGAAGTGGAAGAAGAATCTGTTGAAACAAAAGTTATTCAGCACCAAGAAATCGTTCAAATTGCTGAAACACATGTGAAAGAAAAATTAATCGCTGTTGAAAACGCTGAACGAAATGAGGGTTAGTCATTAAGGACATAAAGTAAATGCTGCTTTGTTGAACTTTTACTCCGTTTGTCCTGTATGTCCACTTGTATCTTGCACTGCTAAAAAAGGTGTGTAGGCGTCACACTTAAAGTGAACGTCAGTTTGGAATCGAGTAACCGTCTAGAATCCTGCTGTAGGTGTGTCAATACAAACATCTAAAGCAAGGATATAGCTGTCTAATAACTTTCTGCTGGAGATGTCTCGAAACCGACAGTCCGATTCTCATGTGTGACCATTGTTTGAAAAGATCTTTTATTGCGTTATTTTTCAAAATTTTAGACGGACAACGATCGGGAAAGGAGTGAGCAAGAATCTAACTGACGAAGAAAGATCCCGAAGTGTGCAATCGCTTTTTTTTCAAAATTTAGTGGATAATAGGTAATAGACTATGCTGAATCCGAATATGACATCCGTTTGGGCCCTTAGGCCTCCAGAAACCGAATTTCTAGAAAACCAGTTTTTCAGAAACTCTAAAAAATAGCACAAGCCTTTCTTAATGAGACATAATTGTAGTCCGTAAATTTCTGATTAAAATGAGACATCTCCCAGCTCTGCATGACCTTTCTTTGCAAAGTTATAGTATTTACAAGAAAAGCCCTGAATCTTCATTGTCAGCTCAAAGCAACAGAAATAAGAAATTACTTTAGGGCTTTTCTTGTAAATACTATAACTTTGCAAAGAAAGGTCATGCAGAGCTGGGAGATGTCTCATTTTAATCAGAAATTTACGGGCTACAATCAAGTCTCAATAAGAAAGGCTTTTGTTATTTTTTCTGAAAAACTGGTTTTCTAAAAATTCGGTCTCTCGAGGCCTAAGGGCCCAAATGGATATCATATTCGGATTCAGCATAGCCGATTACCTATTGTCCACTAACTTCTGGAAAAAAGCGATTGCACACTTGAGTGGCTTTCCTCGTGAGTGCACTTCTGAAACTCAGTAGGGATTTACATTCTACGTGATTTAAATTGACGTGGCATCATATCAGTGCTACAGTTGCTGTAAGCTAACGCTAAGCATCAAGAAATCGTCCGGACGTTCTTGGAATTTATTTTTTGTTCTATTCATTGACTCTGCTCCTCTGTTGTCAACCATGTGCATTCTTAATGCATGTCTCCATGTACGAAAAGCAGAAGATGAAGAAGAAGACGCACGCCTATGTCGCCAACGTAGTGAAAGAAAACGACGTTCCTGGTGGGACGATTATGTGGTGCGACCCGTTCAAGATTATATTGTTCAACCGATCGAAGATTATGTTATTGAACCAGTTCAAAAATTGAATAAGAAAATAAGTCATGGTATTGATGATGTGCAAGACAATCCTGATGAACTAAACGAAAATACAGAGACGTATGTTATTAAACCGGTTTGCAGCGTTCTTAATTATTTTGGTATTGCACAAGCTGAGCATCGTCGTGATATAGAAAATACACGGTTATCATCTGTTCAAGATCTTTTAGTAATAAATCAACAAATACTTAATAATCTAATAGTCAATAAAACGATTTTAACGCTAAGGTTAGAAGAATTAAAAACAAAAATAAATTTAGATAAAAAACAATTACATAAACTGGAAAACGAATTGAATATAACACAGTTTATTAATACTGAAATGAAACGAGCTCTGCTTTATTTAGAAAAACTACTGGATGTCACAACTGTACTAAATCATTCAACGCGAAAATTATATAAATTTGAATTTATTATCAATCCATTACAATCAATTTACAAATTCTTATATAAAAATCATCTTATTGAATCGACATTTCTCCTAGGAACGGTAGCGGTTCCGAACATAGTTAATCAAAATTTCAAACAATTGCTTAAAAAAATGCCGTATGTTATGGACAATATTGAAAATACGAATTGTTCAATACAAGTAACAAGCACTGAAGGGTCAATAGATGTAATGAAAACATATACAAGACATCGTCGATCAGCAGGTAAGAAGCTACGAGATTTGTGTAAAGTACCGTGAGGGCGTTTTTGTTGTTGTTTATTAGCAAAAAAAAAACCGGTATCTGCGCTAATCGGTAAAGTAGCTGTTAAAAACTTAAACACAGAAGTAACAACCTCTGTAAGGTCTTATAGAGACGTAGACATCTAGAGTAAAATATGCGATCTGCACTGTTGACTTTTTACACACATTTGTACATCTAAAATATAAACGAACTGGGATAACGAAGGAAGAAATGGATGTCGGGAAATCATTAAAACGGCTAATAAGAGTTGAAGGAACGATAAGGTTTCCAAAAATTGCAAATAGTTTCAAAAATACGTACATATTTACCGGGAGTGTGTTTACGGTTTTTTTCGCAAGCCGAACTTTGTTCAACGTAAATTTTGATAAAACTGAAAATTAGTATACATAATCCATGTTTCGACTCAAGCTACATTATCAGGAAAGGAAGAAGATTTCGACACAAACTTAATCCAATAGCTCGAAAAACGATCGGTAAGTGCTCGCTCTACCGTCAGTAAAAGAAAATAAATGATAATCCATATGTGACACCATAAACGCGTCGCAAATAGAAAGTCTACAAGTCCCAGAGCTTCCACTGCTGATATTCTGTAAAGTGGAAACAAGTGGAGCTACCCATATAAAAAACGAGTAGACAAATACAAGAAATGCTCGACGACGAAGTTTAACTGATAAAATTCAGATGAGAAATAATTCGAAAAGATGAAGCAATTAGCCGACATGGCAAATCGATCATCTTTCGAAAGACAAGTCTCGTAGCCACCAGCCGAGGTACTGGTATAATTCAACTAAAGAAAGTTTTTTAACTATTATAAAACGACTCGGATGGCGCATTCTTCTATTTAGTTTTGATCAGGAGCACCTCTTTTTTCTTTGCAATAACAAGGGAACCTCCCCAGGTTACAAATCGTTGTCGAGCTAAAACCTTGTGGGTCAGAGGTAATCAAGGATGCTGATTCGGAATATAGCAATCATTTTGGCTGAGGGGTCTTCAGAGACCGAATTTCTGGAAAACCAGTTTTTCAAAATTCCTAAAACACAACCAAAACCTGTGTTAATGAGGTAGAATTGTAGCCCGCATATTTCTGATTAAAATGAGACCTCTCCGAGCTCTACATAATCTTTCTTT